CCCCAAAACCCCAAAACCCCAAAACCCCATCCAAAATTTAGTGTATTGAATCCTCTAAAATAAGCCATAAAAATGCTAAAATATTTTAAAAATTCACCTCTCAATTGTTTTACAATCTGAAATCTTCTCTACTCACAGATTTCACACAAGCCTGCTTAATCACAGTATGATCTTGGCCCAAGTAAAATTCGATTGCCAGATATGCATTAGCCCGATAAACGCAGTCAACAACCTCCAATGAACACATTGAGGCATGACTTGGTGACAAAAGTGTATTGAAGATTGGATTAAGTCTTACAAAAACTGCCCAAATTGTAAAAAGGAGTTGAACAAAAAGTTATTGATCAAGAACATTGCCTTATCCCAGATAATGGCCCAAAAACTGGAAGACAGCTACATAGATCCTTGCCGAAAACATAAAAGTTTGACCAGAATTATGTGAAAGGATTGCATAGAGCCAGTCTGAGACATTTGCATTAGCAGCAACGGCCATAAAAACTGTTCTTTTATGACCATCAAAGAGCTTGTCATGACCAATAAGGATAAAGCTTTAATAGCTGAGGAATGGCAGAAAGCTCTTGAAGAAAATATGAAACTATACTCAAATATTGTCCAGGATGAAGAATTTAGGATCCATTACAAGAGTTTCTTCGATGTTTACAATCATTCTCATGGTAAAAAGGGATTCGCTTCAGCATTCATGTCTGAATATGAGAGAGTGAGTTTAAAAAATGATACAGCTGATATAGAATCTGTTTTTAAACTTGATAGAATTAATGAGAAAGGAATGTATTTAGAAAAAATGAAAAACGCAAAATGAATGGAGGATCTAGTAAAAGTCATTCAGGATAATCCATATTTTGTAGATCTCTCATTTTACAAGATTTATCAATACTGTTACAAGAGCAAAGATTATCATGATAAATACAAATTGTTCAAAAAGCATAAGGAATACTACTTTGACATCTCAACTGTATGATTTGAAGATTTAAAGGAAACGAAAATAGGTTCTGAAGATTTTTGTGATGTCTATGCTAAACTATACTGTAAGAAATCTCCATCGCTCAGCCTGTCTTTCATCGGTATAAAAGAACTCAAAGACATTGACTTCATGAGAGTAGTGTTCTACTGCCCAAAAAACACTGACATTTATATCGATTGGATCCAGCCTATTGATAAACAATCTAATAAGCTTAAGATCCGTCAAAAATTCATCAATACGGCTGTATTAAATGCCATCCTGTCTCAAATGAAAGAGCTAGGATTGGTTCTTGAGTTGTACTCAAAGAATACAGAAGAGTGTGTTCAAGATAAAGTCCAAAGATTTGAAGATGCTTTGAACAGAGCTGCCTCAAAATCCAGCCCTCCGGTAAAGAATGCAAAAATTATCTCTAAAAGAAGCCAAAAGTTGAAATACAAAGAAGACAAAGACCAAGATTGAGAAATGTTTATGGGGAGAATTCTGTGTCCAGACAATTATTATTTTGAAAATGGATGAAGAAAGAACTGGCCTAATCGTTATAAAAAACGGAAAAAGGGAAATTCCCCGTGGTAAGAAGGAGGAGTAAAATCAAGTATTAATTAAAGTTTAATTTTTGCCAAAGTCAAAAGATTGAGAATTATTTAGCATCATTCATGTAAGGTTTGAAACGTAAAGAAAGATAAACACATTGTGATGGTCTATTGATGGATAAAACTTTATAAGTCCTCTGAAGTTGGGAAATATCGTAAGAACAATATAAAAAGCTTGTTGAATCGATAGTTTTTTTGAGGAATTTAGCGGAAGACATACATATTTTTTGAAAGAATGTCTTCTTGGAAAAGTGCATTCATTATAAAATAAATTCTTCCAAGCTAGCTGATTCAATTAACTGTAAATATAGAGACTCTTATAATGCATAGCTCAATTGCATATATTTGTCACATTGCTCAAACTACTCAAAAAGTGTCAAAAACCAATCTATAAAGTCCAAAGAAGACATGGCACTCTTAAGAAGCAGTCATATCTACTATCTATTGCTAATAAATACTACTAAATTTAAAATATCTTTCTTCTCCAACATTTCAGCCTTGTAATTAACTCATCAGTAGACTTATGCTCCTTAGCTTACAGCTAGAGTCTAGAGTGAATTAAGTATTTAAAACTAATCTGTGTATAATATAGGAGAGACAAGGCAATTTAGATATTTTGACAACATTTATGAACTATCATGTCAAGTCTTATTCTGAAACTTGGGCCTAAGTGAAGGAAGATGTAGGAATGGAGAACATCTCCAAAATTGTGGTGAATTGAGCTTAGAGATATAGTCTGAATAGATCCCAATTGGCGATCAGACCGGATTCTATTGTATTTTGTAAAGAGTCAGAGCAAACCAGAAGTAAACCCACTAGTGATATTGTTCAGATTTCGTTAAGGAAGTTCATCCTTTGTTGACTTATTCAGTGAGCATAGCCTTGTGTTTAGGATGGATGAGATACTAATCCTGAGTTATTTCTAATCAATACTCATGTAATACCAATTCTAATTTTCATTACATTTAAAACCCAGCAGGAGTTGGGTTTAATGTTGGCGACAGAGGTGAATACTTAAATGACAAAATTGCTGGAGATCAAGAAGAAGCTTTTGTGCTAAACTTCTACAAGGCTTTCCCAAAATATCTTAACCATGAGCTGTACATCACAGGAGAGAGCTATGGTGGAATCTATGTTCCATACCTTGCCTATAATCTTCATCCCCTTGGCCACACCACTAAAAATGGTGGAGATATCAACCTTGTTGGTATCAGTATAAAAATTTAACTACTGATTTGACCAATTCCACCATCCCCGCTTATATTTAAACAAGGCAATAATCACTTTTATTTTCTATACATTTAGCTATCTCCGATACATGTAAGGATTACCCCATTAAATTTGGGAGCCAGGCGAAATGCATTCAAATTATGATTTCAGCGGTTGAAGATTAGATAGCTTTGAAGTGAACGAAAATAAGTTGTATGATGAATAGCTCAATGCTGTTAGGGAGAATTAATTAGGATATTGATCATAGTGTGACAGTAGATATATTCAAGTAAGTAAGATGCCTTATGTACTCCTTTCATTCTTCTCTCAGGGAGCTGGTAACCTAGGGCCTTTGTCACACATTCTACGATGAAGTAGTAGGTTTCGATTCTATGAGTGTCTAACTTTCTCTTCAATGTAACTCTATGTTCCTTATAAAACTGCTTCAAATTTTCATCAATGAAGGTTTTAATAATTTTATTCGCTGCTCTAATTGTGGCTTTCATGATGACATCCTCTCTGAACAAATGTTGTGACTCGTTAAATGTTGCTAGAAGGGCTATTTGTCAAGCTAGAGCTTTCCTCATTGCTTTGGGTTGACTTCTGGGTCTCTTCTAGTAGATCCTTTTCATCCTCGGAGCTTACTTCAGGGATTTTACTACAAGAATCTGGGTCCGTCTCTTTAGTACTATTTTTGAGATCTCCAGATAGTTCGCACTGGATTACTGTTGGTTCTTCGGAATTATAAGAGAATAATTCTTGATCTATTGGAGGTTCAAAGTCAGGGCAATCTTCAAAGTTTAGGTTAGCATTGAAGTTCAAATTTTGTTTGCCAACTTCTAGTTCTGGCTGCTCATCTTCTTCAACAAAGCTGTCTGCTTCATGTGAACTTGGGATACTAAATACATACTCTTGAGCTTCCGAGTAAGAAGTCATCCATGGTTCTTGGAAATCTAGATAAGTATTCATGATAATAAGGTAAGTATAGTCTTCAATAATATTTTAAAAATAAGGGGTTTTGGGGTTTTGGGGTTTTGGGGTTTTGGGG